GGATCACCGTGGAATCAGCGTTGAAATTCTCTTTGGCGTTTTGCGGATGCATCGAAAATGCGCTCTGAAATTCGAATCCAATGTGAATCGAATGATGAATAAAGAAGGGGAATTTCCGCGAACAGTAAACAAGAAATTGCAAAAAACAGGTAATAAAGGAAATACTTATTCATAGTTCTTGATTTCGAATAAAAATGGATTTTTAATCGTTTCTCTTTGAGGGGAAAAAAATTCCGTGACGCAATTAAGTCACCTTCAATGGGAGATAATTCAATTCAATGTAATCGAATTGATTATTCCGATAAAATGGATTCCATGCAATGAATTCGATAAGAGTAGGATTACGTCTCTTCTTTGTTAATACATTTGAATATATAAATCTTAAAACTTGAAGAAATTTAATAAATTTTTTCAATTCTCCTATATTAAAATGAAAATCTTGATATAAAAACTAGAATCAAACGAAATTTAAAAATTAACTTTCCGCAACTTCCTCGAAAAAATCCCATCTTTATTCTTTTACTTCATCTAACTTCAATTTTTCAACGAGAAAAATCTTAAAGAAAAAAAAAGAAAAAAGAAAAAATAAAGGAAGAACCGAGAAGTTCACTCATCCAAGCGATACTGGACGAAATAAGAGAAAAGAAATCGGACAATGTCGCTTCTGAAATATCCTACGAATAATAGTACACGGAAGAAATAAGGAAGAAATAAGGAAGAAAAATTCTGGCACGAAGGAAGAAAGTCTGACTTTCGTATATACGTGTCTATGTATATAAAGGGTATATAAAGAGTAACGCGTTCTTTTCCTTCCCGTCGCGATTAAATTAATTAAGTATTGCACAACTGCCGCGCGAAAAGAAAGAACGAAGGCGGGAAAGTTCAAAAGGCGTCCAATTTATGCTCGACGGAACCTCCTCTTTCTCTCTCTCTTGACGTGGATACTTTTTAAAAATTTACTTGAACATTTATTATGTCGGGACCGCGATGCATCTTCTACTCCACAACAGCGGAATAGCTTTGTAAAATTTTTCTAGTCGTAAAGAAAAAACTCGTATTCGCACGATGAACTTTTCATCAAATATTCTTGGTGGAGGCGAGGTGGAAATTGGGACAACTTCCCTCGCAAAATTTCTCATATTTCTGCCCTCCCCCTCCCGAATTTAAACTTTTTCTCAATTTCGGTTTGTTAATGAACAAAATGCGAAAATCGTGACTCGAGTATTTCATTTCGCGTGAAAATATTTTATCAATTTCAGAAATTTTCTTTGTTTTTTAAGGATGTTTAGAGATATTTTTTTTTTGAAGAGAGAGAGAGAGAAAGAGAGAATTAGGTTGTTATAGTTTTTGTAATTTTTAATTAATTTTTCATAAGTTGTTTAGAATATTTAAAAATCTGGAACAATTTCAAGCTTAGAAAAAGATTTGAAGTAAACAAAATTATTCTAAAGCTTAAGGTTATAAAATTTATAGTTGATTTCATTTGCTAGGTTTCGATTATGTTCAATAATAATGATGATGATAAAAAAAGTATAATATGCACGTATTGTATATCACGTATCGTATGCTTCGATACTATAAAGTCAGCAATATCATTTGATTCAATGGAATTCAATTGACGTGAGCGAAAAAATAAGTTGAAATACTATCGACGAATGCTTTAAACTTTAGAACTTCGTTCAAAGAATTCCATTTGTTGAAAAGTAAAATAACACAATTTTTTCCTAAATGAATTCACAACAATACTGAATTTTATACGATTTTATAAGAAGAAGAATAAGCAAATAAACAATTGGAAAAAATTATCATTCGTGACGAGTGGTGTAAAAAAATTTTAAATAGTCATTCATATATCTCTCAAATTTTAAATATTCCTTTAACCTTCTAAAATATCTTCCATATGACTCCAAAAAATATTATACAACATTCATAGTATAACATGATTAATCTTCTCTATCTTCTACATCTTATATCCTTTTCTCCAAAAAGTATTCTCAACTTATATCATTTACATTATCGATTTGTTTCATCGTTCAAAAATTTTTCACAAATTTAGAAAGACTATAAATAATTTAAATCACACATCACTGCGATTCTCAGCTCATCGAGCTCATGCAACAATACCACGTACCACGTGAAGTCCCAGAAATCCTGCGAGGTTCTCGATGGTGTTGACTCGCGTGACCGGCGTGAGGTTGTCGAACTTTGCGTCCAACAGTATCGTCAGCAACGTCTGTTCCTCCCCTTCGTTGCAGTGTGTCTAAAATCAGAAGCGTCCTATTTCAGTTGGTTGGCTCGGGCCGAAACGAACGGTGTCAGTGTGCGAAACACGAGGAATTAAGGCCGTCCACCGACGAGGATCCGAACAATACCATTCGTGGCGATGCGCAATACGGTCGGCTATCAATTGGCATCAATCAGCATCGTCTACCAGGCTAATTTCTGGCGGAAAGATTTAACCGATGTTTTATACGCCGATGCAATCGTGCCGCGCAATCTTTCCACGATGCACGCGAGTCGAATAAATTTTTCTTTACAGGATCTATTCTTTTTCTTCTTTTTCATTTTTTCCCTTTTTCATTCGATCTTATCATTCTTTTGTTGAAAGTTCTACGTATCTGAGGTGATAGATAAGCATTAAAAATTGCATCGCATAATTTAATAGTTAACGTTTTTCCATTTTTCAATTAATTGTATTTTCTTATCGTTTCAATCAGACAATTTCAAAGATTCGAAAGAAGATATGAGAAGATCGTTCTTCCTGCGACAAGTTTAAATTATTTTCTTTATTAATTCTAAACGCGTTTCGAATTTTCGATAGCGTACAGAATCGAAAGCGAGATTAAAAATCAATGTAATATTATGAGCTTTTGCCGACGTTGAATTTACTTGGATAAAAAAAAAAAATTTCCACTTTGCAATCGTTTCGCACTGGTCTTTGAAAAAAAAAAAAAAAACGAGATTTCGTAGGCGAAAAAACGACGAATCAAATTGCCCGAGTTGACGTAACACGAATCCAGTGACGAATATAATCGAATTTCTCTCCGTTTAATCGATCGAACACGGCGAAACGGAGCGGCGCGGCGCGTTTCAAAAATGGCGTTGACCGATTCAGAGGTTAGGTTCCGCTCGTGGCGGAAGGATAAACGCGATAATTCGTCCAACGAGCGATTTAACGAGCGCGGGATTCGGGCCAATTAATTATCGAGCTGGCGAAAATCGGGCGGATCCGATTAAAACGATCAACGTGTCGCGCAAAAGTCAATCCCCTCCGGTATGCTTGTTGCCCTCGATCGGCGAAACCGATTAACGTGCTAATTGATTTACCGCTTCATTAACAGCTTCGGCAGGATCCATCGAGTTTAGCATCAAACCGATCGGTCATCGATTCAATGATCGCAATTATTCGCGAAGAATGAAAAGATCCCAAAAAGTTTCCTTTTTGCGTTAAAATATTTTTCATTACTGGAAAGAGAATATATGTGTTAGACAGCGAAGAAAAATTTTATCTTTTCCTAGATAGATTCTTTGGTGTTATTTTATTAATATAAATTCGAATACTGTTTTTCTCTTGCTTGCAAATTTCCTATCCGAAGATAAAGATAAATCACCGTTTCCAAATAGAATTACTCGTCGTAGACGGCCAACAGGTTGCAAGTTCTCACGATTAATTCTCTGCAATAGCAGGGATACCTGTTGTAGGAGTTCAGGAGTTAGTTGAATCGTTGCCAATCGAGCGCCTATCACCGTTAACGATAAGCCTGGCAAAAGTGCAAGAGAAGATTTTTCGATCGGACGAAGTTAGCCCGAGGAAAACTCACCTTTCCGTCCCTGTGCTTCAATTCCTCGTGCTTTTCTGGGACCACTTGCACGACGAACAGGTCCTTCGTAGTGGCGACATCGTCCTTTGGCACCACCTTCACGCTCAGGCGACGGCTCCCCACGTCCTTCTTCGTCGGGACGCCCATCAGGGTCGACGCCGCGTCGTCCCAGTACAGCCATCGAAGTAGCTTGTTCCCGCTCGAGTCGAACAACTGGTTTTCCAACATATAGATCGAACGTGAGAACCATGAACTTTCTATAGAATTATTATTACACGCGTAATTCCATTCCATTCGAATTAAATTTCACGGATAATTAGAGATAATTTCTTTTGATTGACTGTGAATTTCTACTGGCAGAGCGAGATAAATTGTCGACAATCAGACGGGAACTTTTTCTTGGTTAGGATATTAAATAACTACGATTACGTTTGACGAAATTAATAAAATTATGTAACTCGAATTCGAATTAAGTAAATTTAATTTGGTTTAGATTCAATTATTTCCTTGTTATCGAACATGAATTTAATTTTACTTACTAGAATTTATAATTCAGTTGTTGTAAATTTATTTATTTTTTTTTGATTCGATAAGTAGAAATTAAATAAGTGTACTTCATAAGTTTAATTTAGAATCATTTCATTCATTTCGTGTAATACAGGAATATAATTTTTCTTTATTTCTGCTTCAATTAACAGACACGAAAACAGAATTTACTTTCATCTGTCTGAAACAATCTCTGCTAAAAACAATCTCTACATTACTCTTGGAAATACCAATGTGTAAAACAAATATGATTACGTAACGTATTTGCATGAATCGTCGAAATTTGCTCAAATTTGCTGGCACAAGAACAAATACAGTTCACGAAGCATGCGTATTAAAAATAAGATTGGGAAAAAATTGTAAAAATAAGAAAAAAAAAAAAAAAAAA